ACTCAGATACTTGTACACTCATGTTGACACCAACATTATTTCAAAAGCCAAAAGGGGGTAATCACACAGTGTCCATCAGTAAGACAGTGGATAAACATAATATTACCATATTATCCATACAGTGGAGTATTATTTGGTATAAAAGAGAATTAAAGTTAAATACATCTTATGACGTGGATGAACCTTGAAAACATTTAAGTTCAGTGAAAGAAGCCAGATACAAAGGGACAAATATTGTATGGTACCATTTATATGAAATGTTCAGAATAGGACCAGGTGCGGTGGCTCACACCTGTAATCCCAGCACTTTGGCAGGTCAAGGAGGGTGGACCACAAGGTCAGGAGTTCAAGACCAGCCTGGCCAAGATGGTGAAACCCCGTCTCTACTAAAAATACAAAAATTAGCTGGGCATGGTGGTGGGCGCCAGTAATCCCAGCTACTTGGGAAGCTGAGACAGAGAACTGCTTGAACCTGGGAGGCAGAAATTGCGGTGAGCTAAGGTCACGCCACTGTACTCTAGCCTGGGCAAGAGAGTGAAGAGAGTGAGACCCTGTCCCCACCCCAAAAAAAAACATTTAAAAAAAAATGTTCAGAATAGTAAATTCATAGAGACAGAAAGTAGATGAGTGGTTTCCAGGGGCTGGAGGGGCCACAGGGAGCAGGGAAGCAGGAACAGGGCTTATTGCTTAGTGGGTTAAGAGTTTACAGTGATGAAAATTTTTGCAAAGAGATAGTGGCCCTAGTCTCACAACATTGCAAATGTGATAAACAGCACTCAATTGTACACTGGACAGTGGTTAAAATGGCAAATCTTAGGTTGTCTATATTTTACCACAATGAAAAATTAAATAATTTGAGACATATACATAAATCCAAGTAAAACCTAAAATCAGATACTTCAGTTGAAGAGTCCTAACAGCTATACATGAGAAATTACATAAAGTTAGAAGAGAGAATAAGGGCTGTTTCAGAGCTAAGCCTATTCAAACTGTCCAGAAGGAAATCTTTCTAGGCCAGGCTCAGTGGCTCATGCCTGTACTCCCTGCACTTTGGGAGGCCAAGGTGGGAGGACTGCTTGAGAACAGGAGTTCAAGACCATCCTGGGCAACATAGCAAGATCCTGTCTCTGCAAAAAAATTTACAATTAGCTGAGTGTGGTGAGGGGGGCAAGTGCCTCTAGTCCCAGCTACTTGGGAGGCTGAGGTGGGAGAATTGCTTGAGCTTAGGAAGTTGAGGCTGCAGTGAGTCATGATGGTGCCACTGCACTCCAGCCTAGGTGACAAAGCAAGGGCCTGCCTCGAGGGAAGGGAAGGGAAGGTGGAAGGGAAGGGAAGGGAGGGAAGGAAGGAAGGGAGGAAAGAAGGGAGGGAGGGAGGGAAGGAAAACAATATTTCTCATCTTGCCTTGGCTTTCCCTGTGGCCATTTCTTTACAGCGCATATTTATGGCTGTTTTAAGATCTCATCTCTTATGTTCTGGGCAAAGGTGCCAGTCTCCTTGGCAGAGTTTCCCTCTGTGCCAGCACACCTGACATAAAATGAGTTTCTAAAGGAAAGCGTATTCCTGGGCATGCTTCTGCCTTGAGGAAGAGTTTTAACATGATGTCCCATTCTCTGCCCTCTCCTGTCGCACTGCCTGCCCACCATCACAAGTTTAGCTTCAAGGCCGGCTGCAGTGGCTCACACCTATCATCACCCCATCATCCCAGCATTTTGGGAGGCTCAGGCAGGCAGATCCCTTGAGGTCAGGAGTTCAAGACCAACCTGGCCAACATGGTGAAACCCCGTCTCTACTAAAAATTTAAAACGTAGCTCGGCATGGTGGTGCACGCCTGTAATCCCAGCTACTTGGAAGGCTGAAGTATAAGAATTGCTTGAACCAGGAAGCAGAGGTTACAGTGAGCTGAGATGGCACCACTGCACTCTGGCCTGGGTGACAGAGTGAGACTCTGGCTCAAAAAAAAAAAAAAAAAAAGAAGAAAAAGGAAGGAGGAGGAGGAGGAGGAGGAGGACACAGCCAAGGAGGAAGAGGAAGAAGGAAGAAGAGGAGGAGGAAGTACCAGTAGCAGTAGCAGTAGTTCGGCTTCAGCTATTCTATACGAAGACCTCTGAGCTGTCATTGGTTTAGGAAATGTGTGGGAATGCCGTAAGAGAGCCTGCGAGATGGAGGGAGATCCTCTGAGCTCCCAAACCATGAAAAACCCAGACACCACCCATCCTCCAGCACCGACTTGGTGTCGTAGGAGCAGAAGCTGCTTTCTGGAATGGTTATGGGAGCCCAATCCCGGGCAGGCGGCCGGCGCAGGCAGGCAGGCAGTAAAGAGTTTCCAGGTCCCCAGGGGACTGTAATCACATTCCCCAACCAGGTGCTGGGAGGAGGGTTAGTGGCTTCCAACCTTCTTGGCCCGGGGCCAGCATCTCCAGGCCTCTCTCTACCCTTGGCTCAATCACATCTTCTTTCCAACCAGAAGCTTGTTAACTGTTTTCCTGTGCTTTTATTCAGATTTCAAGGCACCCTCTGTGTGTTAAACTTCAAAGAAAGTTTGCTACAGTAAGTGCAATGTTGTAACAAGTGGAGGCTCCTAACAGCACTGTTGAAAATGGTTTATTAAAATGAAGGGGCTGGGATTCTTTTCCCCCTCCACCCGCCACCTTCTTTCAAATGAAATTGCATTCGGGTCTGAATTAAGTTGCCTGGTATCAATCCTAAAATTTTTAAAGATGAAAAGCAGAACCACCAACGCAATATTTAAAATGTAAAATGATTACCAAATGGCACCGGGCCAATGTTTATGAATCACTGAATATGATCATAAAATCATAAAAAATAATCACCAAAAGGTAAATAAATTACCCAGCTTACTGCTTATTTTCACATAGGGTCTGACACAAAAGCTGCAGCCATGAATGATTTATACCTGTTTTAACAATAATACTCATTTTACTGAAAGATGGTCAGCACTCGGGCGGCTGTGGGCAACATGCCAGTTGTCGAAAGGTTAATGTTTCAGCAGCAATACATTAAATTATGAATAACACCGGTCCCAAAATGGAAGGTTATTAGCTCAGTATGCTTAATTAGCCCAGCTAGAACTTTGCCATCAAGTAGCAGTGCCCATTACTTCAGCAGTAGCTAAGATGGGGGATGGCAGTGTGGGATTCTAATGCCAAAGCAGGGGTGCGAGGAGGCAGGATGGGTGTGGGATGTCTTTCATTTTCTTTTCATCCAGTGTAATATTAAGAGAAGCATCTCCAAGCCGGGCACAGTGGCTCACACCTGTAGTCCCAGCACTTTGGGAGGCCAAGGCGGGTGGGTCACGAGGTCAAGAGATTGAGACCATCCTGACCCACATGGTGAAAACCTGTCTCTACTAAAAATACAAAAATTAGCCAGGCGTGGCAGTGCGTGCCTATAGTCCCAGCTACTCCGGAGGCTTATGCAGGAGAATTGCTTGAACCTTGGTGGTGGAGGTTGCAGTGAGCCACACTGCACTCCAGCCTGGAGACAGAGTGAGACTCTGTCTCAAAAAAAAAAAAAAAAAAGAAAGAAAGAAAGAAAAGGGAAGCATCTCACAGCCAGGCATGGTGGTTCACACCTGTAGTCCCAGCACTTTGGGAGGCCAAAGTGGGAGATCGCTTGATCTTAGGAGTTTGAGACCAGCCTAGGCAACATAACAACACCCCTGTCTCTGTTTAAAAGAAAACAAAAAGTGAAAAAAGAGAGAAGCATCTCAGAAGTTGGTTTTCAGGATTTTGAACTCTCCCATGCTTTACCCATGAAGACTTCACAGAAGGGGCCAGGCATGGTGGCTCATGCCTGCAATCCCAGCACTTTGGGAGGTGGAGGCAGGCAGACCACCTGAGGTCAGGAATTTGACATCACCCTGGCCAACATGGGGAAAACCCCTTCTTTACTAAAAATACAAAAAGTAGCGGGGTATGATGGCATACACCTTGTAGTCCCAGCTACTCGGGAAGCTGAGGCAGGAGAATCACTTGAACCCAGGAGGTGGGGGGTCGCAGTGGTCCAAGTTTGTGCCTCTGCACTCCAGTCTGGGTAAAAGAGCTAGACTCAGGAAAAAAAAAAAGAAAGAAAGAAAGAAAAAGAAAGATTTCACAGGAGGAAGGAGCAGAAATTATTTGGGAGGAGCTTGGTCCTTTGTCGTGGTGGTGTGGACCCACCTCGATCTGGTTCTACATGTGTTTGTTGCTGCTACACCTGAGCCCCACCAAAGTGGCATAAGGTACCATCTACTTTGGCACCCACCATTCCCTATCAGCACTCATCCAACACAGGCCTGTATTGGGCAGCTACTGTGTACCCAGCACTTACAAAGTCGGGAATAAGACAAACCTGTTTTTAATCTAAAAGAGGGACAAGACAATGGTGTTAAACCATCAATTATGCAATTATTGCATTAACCACAGTCACATGGCTGAGAAGGTTTAGAGGACCAACCCCTGGACTGGAATCAGGGTAGTTAGGGAAGGCCTCTTACTGCTCAGAATCTCTAAAATCTGTGAGTAGGAATTAGTTGCGTGAATTTCCAGGAAAGAACCTTCCAAGGAGAAAATACCTAAACTATGCCTATGTTTCCAAAAAAGAATGCTGCTGGAGAAAGATCAGGCATTGTTTAAAAGGTATCTTGGGCTACAAGAAAGCTATTGAGTGCCCAGCTTGTGTGTGCGTATGTGTGGGGGGTAGGGTGGAGGGAGTCCACACTCAACCCCACAACCTCCCTTCACCCCATCCTGCCTTTGCCCTGCCAGTTACTCCAGTTCTAAACTCAAAGTTTTCAGCCAGAGGCAGGGCGGGGACTCACCCATGCCATGTTGGTCACATCCCTGCTAGAACTAAGCCGTCTGCACCACTGCCCAGCTCTACTTAGTACTATTAGTAGCTTGTTTTTCTAAGCCCTAAAATTCATTTTCTTTTCCCGCCTCGCTTCCAGAAAAATAAATAAAAGTGAACATATCACTCATTTAAGACGAGGAATGGAATTTAGGTTGCGTTTTTCTTTCTATTTTTATGATTAGTTAGAATTTTCCTGGGAAAGCCGCCAGAAGGGCATTATGGTGAGATAATGTCCTGTATTTAATCAGCGCTGTAATGGCGAACTGTATTCTGTGGGGAGAGGCCGAGTTCACTCATCCTTCTCTGTCTTGTCTGTTTGCAGGAGACGGCCGGTGAGCCCAAGATGAAGACAAGACCGACAAGTGGCCGGGATCCAGGCTGGTGTAATAGCCCGAGAGTGGACAGGGTGCAGCCGTGACTCCATCTCTTCCTACAGGACCTGGAAGCTCTGAAATCCCTGGAACCCCCAAAGGAGCTGAGCGTAAGGGGCTCCCAAACCGACCAAAGTGATCAGCTGTGGTTCTGCATCCGCCGGACTCTTTCGGGGTCGCCCCCTGCGGCCTGGGCGCACTTCCGGCTTTCCGTACGCATCTTTCCCCTTTGCAACCCAAACGCAATGTGCACGGGGTGGCACGCGGCCTTTAAGTGAACCTGGAAGTCAACGCCAGGTAGGACTGGATCATCTCCTTACCTTTGCATGCGCGTGGTCATCCAGAGTTTCGCGAAAACCTCTGCTGGAGGCGAGGGCTGCTGGTTTGCAGCTGTCGGGGTCGTTCTTGTTTTCAGAGTTCATTGGTCCATTGCTGAAGAATGAAGGGATCCCTGCGAGGGGTCAAATAGCAAAGGTTATGTTAGAAAGATGTCTAAAAGGACGGAAGAAAGCAAGGGCCCGAAGAAAAAGAAGGGATTTCACCTCAGGAAGGGCACACAGAGAATAACTGGAGGGAGGGATGCTGGTTGGCCTTTCTCTGCAATTAGCATGGGTGGCCAGGAAAACGGGAGCACGTGGGGCGCACACAGCCTTTCAGATTTACTGTTGTCCCTATTAAACTGGGGGTCTGCGGGAGCCGTCTGTTCAGGTAAGGGCAGTAGAGAGAACAGGATGCCCCAAGCAACCCATAAATAGCAGGGTGAAGACAAAGTGTTTATTACTTAGCCTCATGAAGCCCATATAAGTGCTCTCCTAGGGCGCGAGAGAGCAAGAGCATGTGTAAGGCAGCCCACGTGTGTGTCCTGGGAGTGGGGGCCCCAAACACGGCGTTCGCGCTCTGCTTGATTCTATGAAGGCGTCTATTTGATGGAACGTACTGGAACAGTTCATAGGCAACCCAGCAAATCTGGTGTGGAGACAGAGCTTGCTTTTTCTCTTTCCTTTTCCTGTTTGCAGTGAGAATGAGGCCTTTCTCTTCTCGGCCCTTTGCTCTCCCCACAGTTGTCTCACGAGGTCACCGCCAGCTGACAGGCTTCCTTTCAGTGCAAAGTTTGGATGGAAACAATACTCTGTGTTCTAGGGGGGGCTGGTGAGGCTCTGGGCCTGACCAAGCTGTCTTAAACTTAAATGGGCTATTGTTTTAGTAGGGCTGATGGCTTCTTCAGACAACTGGGTCTGTGTGACACAAGACTTTATCCTTTTATGTGTGTGCATGTGTGAATATATACATGGTACCTTCATACCTTCAACATAACACACAGTGGTAGAAAGGTGGCTTATGATCATGATGTTTAGTTCCACATCAGGCTCAGCCACGCACCAGCTGTGTGCTCCTTGGGCAAGTTATGAAGTGACTTACCCTTTTTAGCTGGGTGATAGTGTTCTTAATTCAGACTAGCTTGTCTGTAAGAAATCTTCGAGTTCAAACATTCATTGACTCCGTGATTGCAAGACATTATATGACGATGTTCAACAATGAACTTAAAAGCACTTTCTTTGAATAGCTGATATATCGACAGAACCGATTTCTAAGAGCAGTTAAGGATATGTGCTGAATGTTCTATTGAATATCCTGAATACCAAATGTATTGGTTTGCTAAAATGAGGAGAAAATGGAAGAGATCTATGTTGTCACATTCTAGCATCTTGAAATACCCTTCTGAGTATCCTCAGGGTTCTCACCTACAGTGACGCTTGTGGCCATTGGATAGTATTGTGAAAATTAAGTGGCACTGTCAAATTCACAAAGTATTTTGTGAATTTCTGAATGAAGACTCAGCTCAACAAACTCTTGCATCCCATGAAGATTGTAAAAATACATGAAAGCAGCTCACCAAAACTAAGGTCAACTATGCGGGGTCATTGTTAATAATGATCAAAACCATAATATCAAATATCAGGGGCTTCAGAGGAAACTGACAGGATAAAGATAGGATTGAGCAAGGCTCAGCTTCTAGGATGCTAGGAACCATCTGACATAGCCAACCTCAGGCTGCTGCTGGCCAGCTCTGCAGAAATGTCGCCAGCACCGGGCTGTGTGCTGGCCTTCAAGGAAGGTAAGTCCCTGGCTGATCCAGGAAAGAGGGATTCCCTGGGGTTCCGCCAATAAGCACAGTGAGAATCACAGGCCTGCACCTGCTGAAAGCAATGGCCAACTCCTCTCTACATCTCCATGAGGTTGTCTCTCCTAGGCTCGGTGGCTAATGCCCCTTTTGGAAATGCCTGACACTGCTGGCTGCCTGATTAGTGGTCTTTACTGCTTCTTCTTTTTTTTTTTTTTTTTGCTAGAGGATCTCACTCTGTCTCCCAGACTGGAGTACAGTGGTACAATCATGGTTCACTGCAGCCTTGACATCTTGGGTTCTAGTGATTCTCCCACCTCAGCCTCTTGAGTAACTTGAGTAACTGTAGTAGGACTACAGATGCACACCACCACACCTGGATAATTGTTTGTATGTTTTTTTTGTAGAGGTCAGGTTTCGCCATGTTGCCCAGGATGGTCTCCAACTCCTGGGCTCAAGCAATCTGCCTGCCTTGGCCTCACACAATGCTAGGATTACAGGCATGAGCCGCTGCGCCCTGTCCTTTACTGCTTCTTTCACATCCAGCCCACTTTCCCTCTCTTTCTTCCTTCCACAGACATTTATTGAGCAAATGCTACGTGATAGGCACTGTGATAAGCGCATCACATGTATATACTTAAAAAAAAAATGGTCCATGATCTCAGAGTAGTTTTGCTTTATGAAAAAGATAATCAGCCGGGCACCGTGGCTCACTCCTGTAATCCCAGCACTTTGGGAGGCCAAGGCAGGCAGATCATTAGGTCAAGAGATTGAGAGCATCCTGGCTAACATGATGAAACCCCATCTCCACTAAAAATACAAAAATTAGCTGGGTGTGGTGGCATGTGCCTGTAGTCCCAGCTACTTGGGAGGCTGAGGCAGGAAAATCACTTTAACCCAGGTGGTGGAGTTTGCAGTGAGCCGAGATTGCATCACTGCACTCCAGCCTGGTGCCTGGTGACAGAGTCTACTCTGTCTCAAAAAAAAGGTAAAAAAAAAACAAAAAGAAAAAGATAATCAAGTAGACAATGACAAATGTAGTTAATCTATTTACTTAATTTGAGACAGGGTCTCCATCACCCGGGTTGGAGTGCAGTGACACCATCTCAGCCCACTGAAACCTCTGCCTTCCGGGCTCAAGCCATCCTCCCATCTCAGCCTCCTGAGTAGCTGTGACCACAGGAGCACACCGCCACACCCAGCTAATTTTTGAATTTTTCGTGGAGACGAAGTTTCCCCATATTGCCCAGGCTGGTCTCAAACTCCTGAGCTCAAGGGATCTGCCTGCCTTGGCCTCCTGAAGTGCTGGAATTACAGGCATGAGCCACAAGCCCAGCCTCACACAGATAGTTTAAATATAGTCATTACAGTGAACTTGGATGCATGGACTAGGGAAAAAAAAAAAGTGACTGCAGCCTGGAGGGGTTGATATTGATGGGGATAAGGCATTCTCTGCAGAGGACACACAGGCTATTTGGGAATCACAGTTAGATATTGTGTGCATTGTGTGTAAGATCTGGGAAGAAATCATGACTGGAGATGAGGTTGGGGACCACTGGCCTTAAAGCAAGCACAGCTTGGGTTCAGGAATATTTCTTTATCCTTATATCCTATAGATAGTTCCTCAGCCTTGGACACTGATAGGGAAATCTCCAAATCTTTCTAGTCGTTAACAAAAGGCTCAATCATCATTAGTAAAGCCTGCAGGTCAGTTTCCCAGGGCAACATGGTACCTTAAACTCTGTATCTGCAAGAATGAAAGCCTCACCTAGTACATTCATCCTATCTAGGGATGAATCTGGAATCACAGGATTCCTGTTGCCAGAGACCTGCCCTGATTCATGCCAGTCAGTGCTGGGTCAATGGATAGTGTGGTCACAGCATCCATGACTTCATCACACTGGCATCCTTGATGTAGCTTGCGTTAGACACTTGTTCAGTGGCATAGTTGGCTTCATGGTGGCTCAGCTCTCTGCAGTTTGATTTTTCCTTGGTAAAAATATATGCATGGAGTAAGGAGATGCAAAGACACCATCTCAAGGTGTAACATTAGGCCGAGTGAGGTGACTCACGCCTGTAATCCCAGCACTTTGGGAGGCAGAGGTGGGTGGATCACCTGAGATCAAGAGTTTGAGACCAGCCTGGCCAACATGGTGAAACCCAGTCTCTACTAAAATTACAGAAAAATTAGCCAGGTATGGTGGCAAGCACCTGTAATCCCAGCTACTTGGGAGTCTGAGGCCAAATAATCACATGAACCCAGGAAGCAGAGGTTGCAGTGAGCCAAGATTGTGCAACTGCACTCCAGCCTGGGTGACAAGAGCAAGACTCAACAAACAAAAACAAACAAACAAATAAATAAAATGAAGGTGTAATATTACTTTTGCCTTTGGAAGTGGGTGTCTGTCTGTGCAGGCTACTGAGATCTTCACCCAGGCCTATGTTACGTTCGAAAGCAGAGATGCCATCCAATCCTAAGGCCTCCAATGAGCTGTGCCTTTCTGCCTCATGCTTTCTCTGGCTTCCACCTGCCCTGACCCCCGCCATGTATAGCGAACAGTCTGACTTCCCTTTCAGGGTCAAGACTCTCCAGTGAGTAGCGGGCATGGCCAGCACGATGAGGTTAGAAGACCAGCCTTCCTGTGATAAGATGAGTTCGTGTCAGTGGTCTGCCTCCTGATACTAGTGTCTCAATCTCCCTGATCTCCTGCCTTGAACTTCAGGAAGTATCTGAGTATGATGTAACTCTCATTTAGCTACCTGGATCCAGGCCCCCACTGTGTATTCTGTCCTGCCTTACCTACCTGGTCCCCAAAAACTTGCCTGAGTATGGAAGTAGCTGGGATTACAAGCACCCACCACCATGCCTGGCTAATCCTCATTCTGTCACTCTCATTCACCCTTTGTTCTTCTCCATACCTAGATTCGACATTCAGATAGAATTCATTTAGGTGGCTTCTTGTACTGTAGGCTTTATGTAATCATGGAGACAGGAAGTACAGGTATTTGAAATAAAAGAAATGGGCTGGGCATAGTGGCCCTTGCCTGTAATTCAGCACTTTGAGAGGCTGAGGCAGGTGGATCACTGGAGCCCAGGAGTTTGAGACCAGCCTGGGCAACATAGTGAAACCCCATCTTTATGAAAAATACAAAAATTAGCTGAGCATGGTGGCACATAGCTGTGATCCCAACTATGTGGAGGGCTGAGGTGAGAGGATCGCTTGAGCCCAGGAGTTTGAGGCTGTAGTCAGATATGATTGCTATACTGCACTCCAGCCTGGTGGGCAGAGGGAGACTCGGAAGGAAGGAAGGAAGGAAGGGAGGGAGGGAGGGAGGGGAGAAAGAAAGAAATGAAAGAGAAAGAGAGAGAGGAAGAAAAAAGAAAGAAAAGAAAAGGAAGTTTGGCTTATAGACTTCTTTGTCCCTTACAATTTAAAACTCTCCTGATCTTTGAACCACATTAAACCTCATAATGTGTTAGACTTTGGGGACATTATCCTTGACTCCTAGAGAGCCCAAACTGACATGAACAAAGTCATCTCCATGAAAAAAGATGTACAAATGCCAATCCCATGGGATTCTTGTCCATCATCTCCTTTTTTTTTTTTTTTTTTTTTTTTTTAAGACAGAGTCTTGCTCTGTCTCCAGGCTGGAGTGCAGTGGCACAATCTCGGCTCACTGCAACCTCCACCTCCTGGGTTCAAGCGATTCTTCCACCTCAGCCTTCTGAGTAGCTGGGACCACAGGGGCATGCCAGCATGCCCGGATAATTTCTGTATATTTAGTAGAGACAAGGTTTCACCATGTTGGCCAGGATGGTCTATTAGAGTTATAATCTTCTCCCAGGGGACATCTCGAGGTTTCATTAGATTCAGCAGTTTCCCCGTGATATATAAAACTAGTGATGTTTAAAATCTTGGCTATATCAAAAAGAGTGGCAATTTGGGGAAAGCGTACCTGTAGTCTAGGGGCTTTAGATGAAATGAAATTCCCTTTTCCTCCTGTAAGACAAGGACTTTCCCGGAGTTAGGGTGAAATGCAGGACCTCTTGCTGTCCCGCTGG